CGCGGCAAGGAGTTTGTCGTACGAACCGATCATCAGAGCTTAAGGTGGCTCTGGAGTACAGAGAAGTCACGGGTTGCCAGGTGGGCTATGTTTCTTCAGGAATTTCAGTTTAAGATCATCTACAGAGCTGGAAAAAATCAACAACACGTGGATATCTTCACGCGTGACGTCGAGTTTGGTAAGTTAGACGAAGATATTGACGCTAGGTGGGTCCTAACATCCCAGACGGACGTTCAACCGTCAATGTTGACCCTCAATGAGACGTTCCCCACGCCTGAAGACGTCGCTAACGCATTCGAACAAGAACCTGAGCCACCTTTCTCGTATACACTTCAAAATGGTCTACCAATCGTGCGAAATCGCGTGTATGTTCCTGAGGTGCTCCGACGACGGGTTCTATTCTACTTTCATTTCTCGCGAGTTGGAGCCCACCAAGGTGTTCAAAGGTCCTACCATCGATTGTCTAAATACTTCTGGTGGATTAACATGATGAATGATGTTCGGCAGTTTGCGAAACACTGCCCGACATGCATTCGACGAAGGCATACGGCGATAGACTTCGTGCGAGGTAATCTACTCTCGACTGGTATGTTCGAAGTGGTCGCGTGTGATACAGTCGGCCCTATCTGGTTTCGGGAACAACAGTTCTACATATTCACTTGCATCGACCATTTCAGTAAGTTCGCCATTGCGATCCCTCTCCGCACAGTCCGTGCAGTCGATCTATGGGAAGCCTTCTACTGCAACTGGGTCGCCGTTCTCGGTGCTCCCCGGAATCTGTTGAGCGACAGTGCATTTCGCGGAAGAGTTTAGAGAGCGTTGTCAAGGACTTGGAATGAATTGTCTCTACTGTTCAACGTACTACCCTCAAGGCAATGGTGTCATAGAGGCCTTTCATCAGTATCTCAATAAGTCTGTTAGCGCGTTTGTGTCGACAACAGACTGGAGTTTCAAGGAGATCGTTGCCTCTGCCATGTTGGCCTATCGTTCTACGCCGCACCCAACTACTGGCGAGTCATCGTATCGGATCGTCACCGGTGCAGACTTGGTTCTACCTCACTTCCAAGAATGGCACAAGTTCGAGACTTACATAACGGATGTGATTCCGCGTCTCAAGCTATTGAACACGTTCCGACAGGATGCCCTCAACCACACTTTGTCTTCAGTCAGCAAAGGACGACCTCCTGTGAAGAAGGAAATCTACGTCGGAGATACGGTGGTGGTGCTCTTGCGTGGGAAGATGCTGGCTACCATACAGCAACGCTTCGGAGTCAGTAAGCTCATTCCCACATGGTCGGAGCCTTGCCGAGTGACCGCGCTAAAAGATAACAACGTGGTCACGCAGTCTGTGTGGCACAAGGACTTAGTGTATGAAGCTCCTCTTTCGGAGGTCATGAAGATAGGACGGATTCCGGTGGATCTTCGAGCACTCACAATACGAGAAATTAACTCTGACCATGACGGGCATATACCACGAGATACCGATCCGCTACGGCGTGCCAACCCTTGTGAGTCTAGGCCGAGCATCCCGCGTGGAAGTCAACCCGAGCAGAGACCTATGATCCGGCCGTTCACTGGCAGAAGGAAATCTTCCCTCGATCGACTACTGATGAAGGAAGCAGGAGACCCAAGATTTCATTTCGCCTTGGTACCCCGCGACTCTTAAAACCCCGGGAGGTTGTGACGTATGAGCGCCCCACTTAACGACGCTGGACGCACGACTGAAGTGTCACAGTGCGTCTCCGAGGATTTAGATTATACCCGGCTGGCCGGTACCGACGATGGATTTAAAAAGGGAGGAATTTTTGGAGGGAAAAATCACTAACACTATG